ACACTGTTTCACCAAACTTGAGCTGCACAATAACAAGGGCTTGTATTATGTAAACTGAACTGTGATTAGGGCTGCAGTGATTAAGCAACTAATTGCGACTAGATGACATCTCTTAAATCATACAAAAATACCATTTTATAACAACGTCAGTGACATTATTGAATCAAAAATCAATAAAATGTGTAAATATTCTTAATTTAGAAGAATAGATCCACCATATTTCAGCCTTTTTATGGTTAAAAATGTATGTACAAATTTTCAATGTACAGTAGAAATAATCATTTGACTATAGCTTATCAACTAAAACAACTTGTCACCTACTAAAACAGTTGTTAGTTGCAGCCCTAATTGTAATACATTGTACTTAATTATAATATATGCTGATGTTGCTTATCATCCACAAAAATATTATGAACAATATGATTAATCAATATATCAATAGGGATTCATAGGTTAAACAACAATTGTGAGAACTCAGGTCACAATATAATGGTTAGGACTACAATTAATAAAGGTGACCTATACAGAAAGTGGTTTTAATCTGACTGTTTATGCTACATTAACTTTACTTCATAATTCATAACGTCTGATTCATAAAGGTGGCCATATATTAGCGGAATGGTCATCTATTAGATAATGTGAATGACAGTTAAGGATCACATGGCTGCTTGGTCATGGTGTGAATAATTGTAAAATGTATGTAATGTCTCTTCTCCCACTGTAACTGACGTTACCCATAGCGTTCCGTTTCAGTGAAATGAAGATCTCCAAGCTAAGGCCAGCAGTTATGGGGAGAATTTGGAGCCGAGTTCCATATTGGGAATAGGAATTGATTTAATATAAACATTTTAAAACCAAAATGAGGAACCTGACAGCAGCAGTTACTGATAAAGAGGCAACATTTTTTCAGTTGACCAGAAGCATGCCCATGCTCACTTCCTATTTGGAATGCGGCGGCTAGCAGGTGAGGTATGTCCCTTTATATATACAGTGCCTAAATGTAACATTATTATTTGGCATTGGGGCATCTCTGTTTATCAGTGACAAAATGGCTAATCAAAAGTTAGAGACACACAACTGAAAACTTAATTACCTATGCAAAGTTTTGGGTTTATGGAACAAAATGGATACTTTGCTCATGGCTTAAAGATGTATTGTTGTAACTTCTATGCAAACAAAACCTATGGACTTGAAATCAAACTTGTTCAGACTTCGGTTGACTCATCATTGATTCCTCTTGTCATCTTGGGTCTAATACAATAAAATACCAAATAATTACACAACAACACATCACAATATTGCAATCAACACTTCTGGCTTATCTTGTTGTTGTCTGTGGTTATTGGTGGTTTTCACATTTTAGGATGTGATGATGTCATACTCCCAGATGGGGGGCAAGGACAATTTTTCCCTATTGAATACATTGTAGTTTGCCTTAAAATATTTAAAAAGTAAATTCACAAATGTTGAAGCTGATAATTTGTATTAGTGACTAGGCCAAGAAGTGTTTTACAACAAAAATTGCATTTCAGTCATACTCATTTTACCCCCCCATCTGTCTTAAATATTACTGACCTATAGAATGTTGTGATGTCATCTGAGACCCACCAATAGCTAGTCAGCAACACAACTTAACTTTAAATCTTAAAAATTTAATTCCTTTAATATGAATATAACAGAAAATCAAAGACATTGACTATGATATTTTCTTAATGCACAGCTTAGCATGTGTTTTGTTTCTACACAGATCTCGCACCCTCACACAGTCGAACATATGTTAAGGAGAATTGTCATCTGCCGCCATATTTCACAGTTTTCCTTGTCCATTTTCCAAGTAAAAAAAAAGATGTGACAGTGCATTAGAAACATGCAGTCCCTGGATGCAGAAGACCTAATCAAACAGAGCCTTGAATAAGTGTGCCTGTATCCGAGCGCAGAGCATGTGGGTGTGAATGAAAACTGCGTAGGAGATGAAGAGACAGGGACGAGGAGTAAAAATAAACAACTAAAGAGAAAAGGAGCGAGGGAATAGATGTGTTTTATGTGAAGATGGCACCTAGGAGGGTTTCCAATGAGGCCTTGTGAGATCTCTGGAGATAGGGTGGTAACCACGCACAACTCAAGTGGAATTTCACAACTGAACTTCCTGTCACTAACTAAAGCTTACCTTGATGCACTGATGAGTCCAGACTTCAGTGATTGGCATGATGTATGACCTTGTTCTCTCCTTGTTCAGTTCAAATAAGCGTTAAAAGATGAAAAAGAAGACTTTAAATGTATATTTTCACTTTAAAGAAGACATACTGTTTTTTTGTTGTTGTTTTTTTTCTGGTATTAATATTGCACTATAAACATATCTAGGTTGTAGTAGGTGGTAGAGGTTGTAGTATAAACAGTACTTGCATTGCTTGTCAAAAAATAACAATTATAGTTTGTTTTTCCAACATTGTGCAGCACTTAAAAGCTTAAAAGGAGAAGTAATTGTAGTATGTTCAGGAAAAAATAATAGTGGTGCTGTCAGCCATAATAAAATTAAACACTCTACATGTAGCTTCTGCAGTACTTTGAGTTCTATTTGAAGTTCACAACTCATATAAACTCATATGACAAATTTTTAGAAAAAAAAAAAAAAAAGATGATTGATGAAGATACAGTCTGACTGAGTAATATTGTATTTCGAAATAGTGACACTGGATTCTTCTTAAACCTTTTCAAAAGCAATGCATTCACATTTACAGTCTGCATGCACTCTGCTATCACTGGGTGTCTATAGTTTTTGAGAACTCAATAAACAGAGGAAATCCATCAGTAACCTCTTGCTTATAAGCAAAAGAGGAGGATGAAGAGCTAGAGTTAGGCCTAGGATACTTAACAGAGGAAATTACACCAGAAACACAAGAATACTCTGCATACTTCTGTCACCAGAGACAGGGGTGACACTTAATGGCTTTAATTCAAGACTTATATCTGTATCTGTTGCTAGTGTTTATACATTATGTTTGCTGTATTTGTGCACAGCGCAGCACATTTAAAATTCATAGAAATCAGAGGACCCCTTGCTATCTATTTGCTTATTTACTGCAGCTATACATAAAACATGACAGAAGCCCGCCTTTCATTTCTCTAGTATCCAAAACATTCAATTTATATGCACACACTACTGAATCATCAAACCGTTGTCAGAAAAAAACATTATACACAACAGAGCTAAGCAAAACTGCAGCAACAAAAGAAAGATTGATATGTAGCAAAAAGTTGTATGCATTCAGATACTGAAAGTATTTCATAAATACAGGTTTGTGGTGTCTTCCATTAGTTATTTGAAGAAAAATATATATTGATTCTTTCTCTGAATTGTTGAATCTGGTATTGACTAAATGTGACATGCATTGTTACCACTGCATTCACAAACTTTCTTAGTAGGTAACAAAGTAGTTTAGTAATGTAGACATGCTTTGGTCTCCTAGTCCTGGTCTAGTTCTGCTTTAGTTGCAGTTGCAGTCAAGTCATAGCTTTGAGGTGGTGTGTGGGCTAGTCTATGGCAGTGTGTACCACCAGGCCTGCTGCCATTACCTGGAGGACATTACTGATAGTGGAGCAGCACAGGCATACGCTTGATCATTTGGCTTGCTCATTTCTTGCAAGTCCAAAAGTTGAGGAGTGGACGCACCTAATGTACAATCTATTCCGAATCTGAAAAAAACTGCTAAAAATATCTTACATTAATTTTGTACACAACAATATCCAAGTTAGTAACGATATGACCCTGAAATAAAAGGGAAAACTTAATGTAAAAATAAATAAATACTTAGATTTACAGGTAAAAAAAAAAATGCATGAGTGTTATCATATTTTTTGGAAAGCAGAGACCCTCTTGAGTAAAACATGTGTTTCCTAAAACAATATTCATGTCGATGTAATATTTACCTGCTACTGTTTTTGACCTCCATCTGCATCATTCCCCTCCACTCCAGACCGGATACACGTGACATCTACGATAGACTTATTTTTATTTTGATGTTTTATTCGTATTAGCCGTGTCCCAATTCAAGGGCGGCAGCTTTCGAAGGTTGTGAAGGCTGCAGCCCTCGCCGTAGCTGAAATACAGGTGTAGCCCACGGAGCCGCCCCGTCGCCTAGCAACCGAGACACGTTGCTAATGCTAATGCTAACAACACGTACCACGCAGATGACGCACAGGTAATCAAACTGTCGGAATTTCAGACCAAGTTATTCTAAAAATTCTCATCCAAATCTTATGGCTAAAAACGAAAATTTATATTTAACTTTTGCAAAACAAAACGGCTATATTTCTGTATTTAAGTGAGTTTATGAAGAAAGAAAGACATCACTCCTTTGAGAAAAGATGGTTTATTTAACAATCAAAGGAATTTCTATAAATCTTAATGTGAATAGTCAAACATTAAACCCATTGCACACACACAAACACACACTGCATTAATAGGTGAGTACAAACAGCTGTATGTCAGTGTACTCTGAAATAGTTGTTCCCATTTTGCTGCAAAATATGATCAGGTGGAATACCACTGCTTAACTGCTGTACAATAGTAAATTCTTATAGTACATGTAATTAGTAACTGTCAAAAGAGACAGCAAGTAAATGGCACATTTCATCATGAACCAAACGTCAGTACAGACTGAAAAACATTCAGAAAAACTTATTATGAGCAACTTATATGACTCTAGTTTTGTCTCATACACTTATTAAGATCATATAAGGCCACATTTATCATGGGACACTTCCTCAGTGATAAAGCTGTTTAGGTGCTCCTCAACTAAGATGAACAGAAACTACCATTTTACTGTTTCACTTCCGGAGGAATTTAGACGTTAAACCTAAACTTTATGGACACATCACTATTAGGACACATTAGAGCAGAAGACAGCATGTGCAGGAGGGAGGCCTGATGCAACCAGAGGCCCCACAGGTCTGCAGTCTGGACCTGCTCCTCCTCCTCCTCCTCCTCTGTGAGTCTGGACATGGACAATGGAGACATGACCCAGTGGACTTGGGCCACTCAGTCTGATGTATCTCTCGTCTTCTGGAGGAGGAAGAGCAGAATGGGCCTTATGTCTTACTGGTTGAAAGTTCTGTCCTGCAGAGTGAAAACCTGTAATGACACACACATTAAGAAAACTATTATATAAATCCAAACAGCTAAATCCCACACATTTGAGAAATGTGTATTTTCACAAATTAAATAATGATTTCAACATGCTTCAGCAGCTTCATTTGCAGCCCTTATTATTAGTGGAGTTTTCAATGCAACATGTCCCAGACCTAAACAGAGGCAGGAATCTGGGTCAGCACCTCCAGCTCAGTGTTGGCTTTACTTTGTCATCTGCATTTGTCCCATTTCATGAATCATGAGCGTCATCCGCCAACATTTCTGTGGCCCCAGCAGTGTGTTGTGTCCTCATACAGGAAGCTGCAGACAAGAAATGAACATGAATATCAAACAGTTTACTCACTGTTATGATATTAGATGTGACAGGCCTAACAGACACAGGTGTCTAGTATCTACACGAGTGTCTGCAAAAATCTGTTAAATGAGCCTAATGTCCACCTTATATCTGACCTGTCCAGGCAGGATTATTTACTTTTCACTTTACAAACATGCAGGAATTGTTAAAAGCAGATAATGTATTCCCAGAATGAAATGCATACATTGGAGGTTTATGTTACGTGATTTACAAGTAAATATAAGCTTTGACATGTTTAATGTTATATGCATTAAACATAAAAAAATTTGTCTTTTATGTTTAATGCATGAAATAATGCGTGTTTTTCTCTTACCGTACTTAACACTTACTTACACTGGCCAAGTGTTTACAAGTTTAACCCAGTCACTGTGCGTGAAAACGTGGCGTTTTCTCCTCGTAGTTTCATTAAATCACTCCGTGGGCTTCTTTACCCCTAAAAAACATGATTAGTGTTTAATGGAAATCTGTCCAAATAGGAAAGTTTGAGCAGACTTTTCATCACGTTAGCTGCACATTACTAATCAAACTTTTAGCTCAAATCTCCGAGGTTCACGCAGTTAAAAATAAACTTATTGGACAGTATTGTGGGAGTTATACCTGTATTTTACATTTACAGTTGTGTTAGTAATGATTTCCTAAAGTTAAAAGCGTGTTACTCACATGTTTTCTCCGTCTTCCAGATGGTCGTTTTGCTCCGTGTTTATATGTGCGAACAAATTCCATAACGTAAAAACAATCTTGTTTAATAAACATGTATTTGCGGTCAAAATAAATCGTTTCGTCGCCCCATAAGTCTACATAAAAGTAGAGATGACGTCTTCGGTGGAGGTCACGTGTTTTCGGTCTAGGTGGAGCTCCACTTTCCCCATGTGTCTGCAGCCAGACCCTCTTGACACACAGAGCACACAACAGGCGCAAAACTACGCCCTCACCCGAACAAGAGCAAGGTGAGACGAATCTACAAAGTAAATATGAAAAATATAACGCGTAATTTAGTTAATTTCAGTCTACACTGAATGATTAAATCACGCATCGCTTCTGCTTTCTTTTATGCGGCGCGTTTGCTAACTAGCTAGAAACACGTGCAAAAAAGCTAATGCTAAAACTAGCAACACCAATCTAATCTGAGGGTTATTATTAATGCAATTAGTTGGTGAATGTATCTGAAATTATCAACTTGTTTTGCAGAGTTTCAATTAAATAGTTGCACACTTGGTTTGACTTAGGGTTGCCACCCGTCCCTTGAAAAACGGAATCGTCCCGTATTTGGAAACAAAAGTACGGTCCCGTATTGATCTGAAAAGGGACGCACTTCGTCCCGTATTTCCACGGGAATCAGAAATAGTGTGTAATCAATGGAATGGAGCTTTATAAGAAAATTTACAGTAAAGGTATCCTCAGCCTCTCTTGCTCTGTGACATGTGAGCTGACAGCACACACACCCCGCTCTAGATCTCATTGGTCGAGGTTGCTTGGCTCCGAGCTCTGCTTTGGCTGCGGGCTCCGAGCCTCCGCGAGCTCCGGCCCGGCCGCGGGCTCCGAGCTTCGGTTCTCTGTCTTTCTCTTCTCCTTCTTTCAGATGTCTCCGAGGCGTCCAAATAGAGGCGTCCAGCGCATTTTTGGGGGGGGAGTCACTGATTTACCCAGATACCATTGGGGGGAAAAAATAAATAAAAATTGTGATTGGTCCATTTCCATTCCATTGTATTAACCCTTTGTTTCTCAAGAAATATCAGTCCAGCTTTACAACAATGACCTAGAAATTATTACTACTGTAGTGTTTATTATTCACAATAAAACATTTTAAAAATTATATTAGTAGTACAAAAAATTATTAAAATTTTTCTTGGGCCTTCACTGAATACCTTGAAGGCCCTGAGGGCTCTCCTCTGTAACAAAACAGTGTTTTACAGTGTTCTGTTGAAATGGGCTGTCCCGTCGAAATGAGCTACCTGCAGCCTAGCGTATGTATTCTGCCATAAATCTAAGACGCACATGCTTACATGCTTAACAAAACACAATAAATGTGACTTGTTACTCCACTTCTGCCTAGGAAGTTCAAATCAATGGCATTTACATTGGAACAGCGCTTGGGGGGGGTGTGCGCATGCTCAGTAGTGCTATGTAGCTCAAAACGACGGGCAGCTCAAATCGACAGGACACCGACCCTGCCAATGAGTTGTCCCTTATTTATTTTTCAGGGAGTTGGCAATCCTAGTTTGACTTGATGCTGCAACGTGTATTAGTAGTAGGCTGATGTTTTGTGAAGATAGGCCTAGTGGTAAAACACATGCATTAAATTTGTGTGATGTCTTTGTTTTGTATTATGATGTACTTTTTGCAGCCTACTAATTTATTAATAATAACATTGACAATACAAAAAAAATAATAATAATTTGTTGTCGTCCACGTATTGTTAGAAATAGGCCTAATGTAGATAAAAAATTATGCCACATTAGAATATACCATTGCTTTAGTATGACAAGCTTTATGAAATCATACTTTCTGAAGAAAAGGATAATAGGTGTATTATTGTTTGGTGATGTGTAAAATCATGGATTTTGATTAATCATATCAGCTCGATTCTTGTTGCACAACTGCTGAATTTTAACACTATTTTTTGGAGTAGGACTATTTGTGAAGGAGGATGTCTGCAGAAGGGCGATTCAAGCGCACCATCGGCAGAGGAGCCCCCACTTACAAATATGGGGACTTAGACTATGACCCTCACATGCCCCAAAGCAGGATCCAGATGCAGATGGACAGCGCTGGCTCCGGAGAGGCTGTGGTCCGCAGGTAAGGGTACTACAGCCAAGGATGAATTGCGCAGTTCAATACTCATTTGTTGTTAATTGACAACCTTCACACATACTTGACTGAAAGATATGCAGAGTTCTTTTCAGTGTGTTTTTAAAGTCTTTCATGAGTCAAGTAGTATAATAGTATACTAACTAATATATACTACAATATTAAATGAATTAGCTGTCTTAAATATTGTTATATTTTTTTTGTTTGTTATATAATATTATTTTTACTGTATGTGTTTTTAGGAAAGACTCGTTTGTTCAAACAGATTCCTGTGCTACTGGGACCAGTTTGAGAAAGACTTTGCCTGGTTCATCAGTGAACAGCCCTGGAGATTCTGATAGGTCTGCACTCCCAAAACACGTGGAATTTCACTCAGGAAATTATGAGGTAAGTCAGTTTTTCAACTTAATACACTTGGTCTAAATTGCTCTGCCCCTGTCACTAGACATTTCATTCTGGTCCATCTTGTCTTAAATGTTACACTTCTGAAAATACACGACATATTATCTGTGTTGAATCTTGAAATTATGATCAATAGTTGTAGAGTGGTTATCTTATTAGCAGAGGGTTGACTGTGTGATTCCAGAGCATAGTGCACACTGTTATTGCCTAAGGTCAGATCCATTGCATAAATTCAGTCATCTGCAATGATTTTTGATTATGGGTAAATCTTATGTTGTAGCTCATGACTCACAGGTCTCACAGTGAGACAGGGGCAGAGATGAACAGTCATACAGAGAGTTGCGATTGACTTTCAGTAGTTGTATAAAGATTGAGTAGTTGTTAAACCTGTTGCCTACAAAATGGAACCATGGGGGTATTCATCAAAGTGGCTTAACAAATCCAGGTTTATCCTGAAATCCTTAGCTGAATCTAGCTCGGTCTTTAGCTTAAGTCTCAAGTTGTTCCATGATGGAAATAAGCCTGAGTATAACCCAAAGCTAATTCAGGCCTGGAGTTTAAGCTGCTCTTTGTGTGTGCTTGCTGTCACTCTGACAAGGCCAAAGCAATGGAGTTACGACATCACACAAAATAGGCCAAAATTGATGTTTTTTTACTATCTGATTAAACGAGAGAGGAGCCATACTGCGCCCCCGGAGTTTGATTTGGGCCACAGAATTTGCCTGGTTAATACGCTCAGCTCAGGAATAAAGTTGCCTGACCCCTTCCCGATGCGCAGCAGTACGTGCGACGCTTAAGTTCCGCTATGCATAATAGTAAAGCTGTAACGGACCTCTTCCTAGAAGAAGAAGAAACGATAAAATCGCTGCCAAGGTCTTTGCACTTTGGCAGGGTAATCTAGGATTGGGTGCATCATATGACAAGGCGACAAAACTTTTGTCTTGCCAAAATCTGACCTTTCTGTGTTCATTAAATGATCAATCTTTCTTCAGTGAAGCAAATTTATTTTAGTATATTGAGCATAATTTGGGAGGGTTTTAGCTTTCATATGAGACATTTCTAAAACCAATCGATTAATTTAAAGTCAGGTTATAAGCTTTTGTTTCTACAAAATGGATAAGCGACAAGACTTTTGTCAGGGACTAGTAAAGAAACTACCGCTGTTAGCCTTTAGCCGTAAATACGTGCGCACCGCAGTAATTAATTATGCACAAGTATCATCATTCACACCTCTATTCACAGCTCATTTACATATCAATCCTGGTCCAGTAACATATATTCGGTCAATATAGTCACTTTACAATAGGTCAATAGAAAACAACATGTGTATGTGCGGGAGCTACAGCAGCTAATAACTAACTAATGAGAAAAAACAAAACTAGCTTCAAAGTCAACATTTTTCCAACACTTACCGCTCACACAGGCTCCTCCTCAAATCACAAGTCTGCACTAATAAATGTCCTTTTAATCCTGACTCAAACCGATTGTCCATAAAAAGAATATAATCTCAGTGTTTGGATCTATGTCTGCGGGTGTAAACAAATGCACATGAGTGACGTAACTCTGGGGATGTGTTCAGGGACAGTATGGACACACACAGACAAATGACTCCGTAGATAAATATTGATGCGGAGCCACATATGAGTATATTTATCTGACTGTAAATTGGATTAAATGAACATAATGTAGAAAGTCTAAGCTTTATAACGAGGTATAACATGCCCACGGGAAATATCGGCCCATATCAGCAAACATATCGGCCGATAGCCGATATGCCTCCAGGTGCCCATATTGGCCAATAATATCGGCCAACCGATATATCGGCCGGGCTCTACTAATGAGTACTTAGTTTCCATAGTAGTTTTAGTGTCGATTAGTACTTGATATACATTTTTTGACTGCTAATACAGCAGAGCAGTAATATGCATTATAAAAGATGAAATTAAAGATGTTTTACACAAAATTTCACTCTCATTGTTACCAGCTAAAATTAAAAACCCGTGCAGCTCAGTTTGGCATAAGAGATGCCTCTCAGACAACCCCCAATTACTTGTGAAAAAATGACAGGTGTAAACTCAGACTCTGACATTGAATCTCTGATAATTACCAGCACATTGCCTGATTGGCAACACCACAGAGCCTGGCTTCATTAATCAGTTGACTGGAGGGCTCCAAAACCATCTGTATTCACCACTGCATCACTATGCATCACTGTCTGTTCATCCCATTGATTTGCCATCAGCTAGTTAATGTTTACCATCATATCCATCATCCCCTGTCCCTTTTTGTAAACAGGGAAAAGAAGCTTTATACTTGAAGGTTGTCTCTTTGTGCATATTTACTATGTACTGTAGATGCATAAGAGTGGTTTTAGAGGAGTAGTTGGGTGGCCCAGTAGCAGTGGTTAACAAGATCCCACCACATTCCAGGTTTCCTAGGATTCACTGATTCAAACAGAGGCCTAAAACATAATGGGGTCATTCTCCTCCAGCTAGGTACTCCTGGGTAATGAGTAAGTCATTTGCAACTGATTATCATGTAATGGAAAATTATTATTATTTATTTCTCAGTCACTGACATTGGTTTTGAAAAGAGTTTAGCCTTGTCACTAAGACGCTCTCTGTTAACAGCTTATATTTGTAACTTTATGATATTTTTCAGTTTGTTTGTTTTTTTCAGGAGGAAAGCTCTGATGATGGAGATGAGATTTGGTCGCTGCCAGGTGCGTCTCCACCCAGAAGTGTGCTTGATGTTGAAAAGACAAGCCTCGACCCAAGCATGGAACTCAGAAAACCTGTGAAAAAGACTGCCAAGACCCAAGGTCATGTCCAACTGCATTTCATTGTTATTTGTATATTACAAGCAGTGGTTCTCAAACTGTAGTCTAACTTTTTCATCTGGATACTTACAGATGAGTCAAATGTAGAGACAGTTTTTATTTTTGTCCAAGATCTTATTTTGTTCTGGTTCTGGTCTGGTCCTAAATACTCTGCGAAAGTGTTCTGAATCCCTTTGTATTCTTAGGGTTGTTAGTTCTATTTATAAACTATATGTAATTAAAATGACTTGCTCTCAAACTGAAATCACATCAGAGGGGTCACAGTTAGCAAAGGTAGAAATTATTTGGTAATATAGTGCCCTTCATGAAACAAAATATCTCACTGCCATAAAACCTTGTTGAACCTTTACTGAAATTATATTGTAATTGTTTTTGTATGCTTTTAGTATTCTCTCAAATGTTGATGCTCTCAAAGCCAAGGTGCTTTCCAGCCTGAACATTGATTTATAAAATGTACTTGATTGGTCACTACTTGTTTTAGTTACACAACCACCATGGTTTGAACTTAAGATTTCCTGTGTCTTGTCCTAATGTTATACTCTGTCTAGACGCTGCCATTACTGCTATCAATTCTTTAGTTTAAAGTGGCCTTAAAGGGTGTTCATGTTCCCCTTGATTACAACAAATTGCTGGTCTTGAAGTTTACTTTTCCCCTTCTTTCTTAACAGCTTGGCAGACTGACTGGCATAAGAATCACATGGCGGCTATAAGTGGTGAGAAGTTTGACGTGCTCCTCAAGATGTGTCCTGATTTTCAAGACTGCAAAAACAACATGGCGGCTTTTGTCATGATAAAAGGTAAGAGCAAATTTAAATAACGCAGCTTTTCTGCAGTGACAATCTGCTAACCTCGACATTTCTCTCATCCTTTCTGTATGTCAGAGGCATTGGATACTGACGGTAATCCCTGTGACCATTATAAAGTCGTGGCGTTGGGGGCAGGTTCCTCCAGCTGTCAGAAGTGGCTTTGCTACAATGGAACAATGGTCCATGACTGCCACGCTGTTGTCATTGCCAGACGCTCCCTGCTCAGGTACTGGTGCATGTTGCCTACAAAGTGACAATATTTAGATGATAATATGGCAGTTCATCAGAAATGTGCCTGTAAATGTCTTGACTGAGGTGCAAGCTTCACGCAAAAATATGAACAGTAATTACCTGTGTACAGAAATATTGATTTGTATAAACCATGCCTTTTGTGCAGCCTTTTTTTTAAATAGCTTCTAGCTGTTATTATTAACCATTTAAAAAAGTGATAGTGATACATCTCTCCCACCCCGTGGCCATTAAAAGTGCATTCTTTAACTTCTAAGATGGAGGGTCCGGTACTTGCTTGTCTTTCTGTTATTCTATTATTTCTTTGTCAGAAATGTTCCACTGTAGGCCATTAAACAAATCTCCTTTGCATTTGTTCTATTACTGGCGTTATCTATTACCCACAAGTTGGGTCTCAACATATTTAAAAAGGACACAGGAGTCAAGATATGGCTCTTTAATTTCTTTTATTTGTCGTTGGTTCTTAATTGATTTACTTTTTTTTTTTTACCTTTTCAAAGAAATATAAAAACCCTCCTGTGCCCGGAAAAAAATAATGAAAAGTAATAAACAGAAAGGTGGACCTGGTGAGCCGGCCAAACAGAACAAAGGGGTGCGACACCGGGCCAACCTCGTACAGGGCCGTAGAAGCCAGTGCCAGCACTTGTAACTCAAACAAGAAAAAAACCCAAACCAACCTGAACCCAAAAGAAATGCGAAAACAAGACAGCCGGTCCCACCAGGTCAAAACAAAAGGCTAATGGCTAACACAGGCTACCTTTGAGCCCACCCACCCTGCACCTGGCTGGCAGGGGCGAGGCCACCCTCAGGGCACTCGCACGGAGACTGGAGCGTGCAAGGTGAGCGGGGCTGGGCGGAGCAAGGCGCACGGAGCGGAGGAGCAGAGAGAGAGAGAGAGCGCCACAGGCAACCAGCTGTATTTATAGGCTCCGCACAGTCAAACAAAAATAAACCATAAACAAAAAATATACCAACAAAGACTAATTACAACTTACTACAAAAGAAAACAAAAAACAACTAATAATCCGAATTAATGTGCCTGCGCGTAACGCTGGTGTTTTATAGCTCAAAAATATTTTAAAAACATAAATATTTACCATTTGCAGGCTTGCTTCTCCATAGATTTGATCATTAACCTCTCTCCATTGTGATTACCAATTTTATTTCCATACTGTAGAATAATGAAGGCAAAACAGTAACATTTCTATCGAGACAAGCAGGTGGCGGACTCTACACCAGAAAAGTTGCACAGTGTACCTTTCAAGAGAGGGACAAAAATTGCATTCTTATTGCATTGCATTAAATGCAGTTGTGTCCCTGAGCAAGACTCTTCACCCACTATTGTATTTTCCTGATTAATACAGTATCTAAAAAAAGCTAAAAACTTGCCCCTCTTTTAGGTTTCTTTACAAACAACTGCTGCTCTTCTTTGAAAACGATCCAAAGTTGAAAGAGTGCAGTATTTTTGAGGCCGGTGCAGAGAGCCACCTGCTTCAGCTCAAACCCAAAGTCACCTTCCACCTTTATTCCAACCAGCCACCAGAAGGCGCTACAAAAAACTTCTATGTTGGGTACCTTTTCAAAACATGTTAAAATTTTGTCTGTTCAATAGCTGGAATTAATATTTATTTTCATACAAACATATTTAAACTAATTTGAAGTGTTATATGCTTCACAAAAATTCAAGCATTAGTGGTAAACATTTACTATAAAAAAATGTGTATTCCTATAACGGTCCAGATCTGCCAATTGTACGTCGGTGAAGCTGCAGTACCACGCTAAAGGTATCCTGGTACCTGTGGTGTATCTAGAGCCCAGCCATTGGGCCTCCAGAGTCTGCTGCGTGTCCGCCAGTGACAAACTCTGCCGCTGGACTGTGATTGGAGTGCAGGGGGCGCTGCTGAGCCACTTCATACAGCCCATCTATATCACCAGCATGGTTCTAGGTAAAAGGGGCATGATCATCTGTCTATTTGGCATGATGTTGATCTATTTGTTAAATCTGTTAAATAATATTAATAACATGTGACAGTTCAATTTTTGAGTTTACTAACTAAATAAAAATTATTTCTTATGTCATTCCAGAAATCCTTTTTGCATTTGTCACTAATACCATGTATTACACAGTAAATCCATGTGATTTATGACTTTGAATGAGTGGGTCTACAGTGTACAGGATACTTCTGTATTCATCTTCAGAAGTGAAATATTAATTTAATATAATTTGGGAAAAGTTGCAAATAAATTATCAATCTTATCCTCCAGGTGGGGTGAAACTGTCCAACAAGGAGGTGTCTGATATCACTAACAAACGCCTGGGTGAGGGCTGGGAGGAGCTGCTGCCTCCGCCTTTCAGGAAACACGACATCCACTTTGTCTGCGGTGAACAAGTGGCTTCAGGGTCAGCCTCTGCAAACACCCAACTCAGCGTCAACTGGTGCCTTGGGGACAGAGACATCGAGGTTCTGGATAGCAGCAAAGGGCTCATCATTGAACGGTGAGACTGTGGTGACCCTAGTCTTTAGAACCAAGTCTCCGAGATTCTTCTTCGTGGCTTGCATGTTATGATAAGGAAAAGGCATGGATGAAATATGCCTAATTGTTCTTTAAAATACTGTGAAATTATGTATTCACAGAGCATTTCACTCACTGTGTCTAACAGATGTGGTGATGTTTCACCCCCCATTTCGAAAAAACGTGTTTTTCACCATTTTATACTTATGTTTGGGTCTGTAAAAAGACAGAAGCCTGCCCCAGAGCACGTGGCTACTTAATATGTGAACAGTAAGTTGGCACATTGAGCCCCGAAGTTTCTGTTTGACTCTTGAGGCTCTGTGAAGACATCGCAGAGGTAAAACGAACACTAATGTTCTCCTCAGCACTGCTGTTCTTGTCCCATCTCTGTATCTCCTCTGGTTCACCCCACTTCACCCCAGTCCTGACTGTCCCACATACAGTACAGTATCCTGAGGCTGCTGCTGCCATCAATGTGCTCATGTCCGGCACAGATGCTCCTCCTGCTGCAGGCTGTTGTGTCCTTGAGCCCAGATTACACCCAAAAATAGACCCACTTGCCTCTCTTTCTCTCTTTCCTCCCATCACCCTCTCGTCTCCTTTGACACCTTTCTGTTCCTCTCTGCCTCTTTCTCTCTCATCCTTATTTCCTCCTCTGTCCTCTTTCTTCCCCCTTTCCCATCTTCCTGGACAGTGTCCAGGAGTCAACATAACACCACATTATAAAAAGATAATTAAGTGTTGTTTATTAGGAGTCAATGGGTATTTATAGAAAACCCAAATATGTACTAATTCTATATTCTTTACATGTGTCTCCCCATTGAATAACATTGTGAGATGGTACTCTTGTTGAAGAAGCAAACCAAAATATAAACATAACCGCAAACTATTAAAATACAGATATAATATGCTTGGTATTTAATGTTGTAGTGTTATTGGTGCTGTGTTCTGTCTGTTTTTCTCCTCCCTAGCTCCCCAAATGTGAGTGGGCCTGGCTTCTCCAGTCGACTCTGTAAGAGAGCACTCTACAAATACTTCCACCAAGTCGCAAAACTCGGAGGCCATAGCTCTCTGCTGGACCTGCCCACGTACCACAGCGCCAAGGTACTTTTCAACGCACACACTCTCAAGATGACTAAAAGCATTTGAAATTAAAACAGTTCCTGCTCATTTTAAAGGTGGATGCAGGACCGTATCAAGCAGCGAAAGAACTTGTCAATCAACAGTTTTTGAACAACCACGCTGGTCTTTGGGCATCCAAAAAGCTGGTGGACTTGTTTAGTGCCTAAAGAAAGGGGGCAGATTTAAAAAGTTTGAGTTTCTCTTAAGAGTTGTTCCCTGTTGGCAGTTGCCCTCCTCTGTAATTTTTATTTAGTTTTATGCAAAATGTCAGTGTTGTTTTGGTTTGGTGTGGGAGTTTGAGAAAAATAAAAAAAGGCCCACTGTTAAGCACCGCAGTGAAGTCGTCCCTGAATGAGCAGTGGGTGGAACACATCTGCAGTCAAGGCAAATTCAGAAAAATTAACTCGTCTGTAGCTAAAAGCCCCTTTACCAAAACCACAATCCCAAAAGATCTATGTTCTGAACATGTTTTTTCAGTTGATGTAGTAGTAGTAGTACTAATTCAACTCAAAGGTATGTATTAGAAAGATACAGTAACCGTAATACTAAACCTTTTTTTACTGCTGATTACTACTAGTTACTACTACTAGTTTATATTACTACTACAAACATCTACTACGTCAGGTATTACAACTGTGGCCTCCCTCACTACCACTGTTGCCAGTAGGTCGTAGTTGCTTCTACGTAATTATTTCTACTTGATTAAAAGTGTTAAGATCTTAGCTATTATTAGTGCTTCTACTTCTACTTTTGCTCCTATTCTCACTATATCAGTTAATCAATCAATCAACCAATCAGTATCACAATTTGTCTCCAAAGGGCAATTTAAGCACATTGAGCACTAAAATATAATAGTATAATAAAAATATATATTAATAGAAAGCTCAAATTCCGTGCAGCTCAACATGTGGGGTCATCAAATCCTGTGTCAGGGCAATTTAAGAGTTAATTAAGAGTAACAACCCTCAGGACAAAAGTGTCTATATAACTGCTACTATTTTCCACTGTTACTACTGTTTTTGCTTCTGCTATATAGAAGCTCCATCTCTAGGGATTGCAATATATTCTTATCACACTATTTTTTTGCAACTCGATCAGCCCTACTACTGTAAATTTACTACTAGTACTTCTGTTAATGCACTTATACATAAAATCAACTGTACTTCTCCTACAACTACTGCTAATATACTATGGCAGTTACTCTGAAAATGTTTGTTTTTTAGCTACCTTCCTCACAAGACAAAAGCTCGATGGCAGTATTTCTTTTTGAGAGGTACCAACTAAGATGTGCAGTCTGCCCTCAGCAAATTTGACAGTATGCCTCACTTTGCTTTCTGCAGTGATGTAAATGTCAATAGCACCTGTGAAAGAATAAACACGGAGGATGTACTTTTGTTGCCATCTTGGAACAAAAGGTCTGTTTAGCCTGGAAGCGTAGATCCATAGCATAGTATTATTTTTCAATTAGTGAAATATAAGTGCTGGACATCAGGATTGCTCACCTGGCAGAGTATGTACCAGATGGCTGCAGCCTGGCTTTGTAATCAGGTGTGCTGTGTGTAATTCCCCCTCTCCCTTCTCCCTCATTTCAGCTCTAGAAATATCTTCAAGGCACAAAACTGCAGTGGAAATACAGTTTACATATTAAGAATACCACCATTTCAACACACAAATTCAAACCTTGTGCTTCCCATTCAAACAAGGTCTGTACCACTAGACCACATATCTTCATTTTTAAACTGCTTGCTACGTTTTGCAGCCTATACAAAAGGATTAACTTCATGTATAACGAAATAGACAACCATTGTTGAAATAGCAGTGTAATATGCCAGATCTAATTTATTGCAAAGTGTTTCCAAATAGGAGATAAATTTATCCTGTTTTTAAAATGGCTGTTTCATAAATTCACAAAGTAATTTCGTAGCCGCTGGTGAAATATTTATTGGGTGTAACCTGGAGTGGCTTTTTGCAGAATTGAAGGGCGAGAAGCACCAGGAGGCTTGCATCATCTTAATTTCCAAAATGTATTATTTTTTTGCACAAACTGTGCGGTGCCATGGTTCATTGTCACCATGGCTCCACTCACCAGTTGCTTGGCAACCAACTCCTCCTTGGAACTGATGCAACGACTCATGTCTTCATAATTACAGGCTCTTTGACGATATTAGGCAAAAACCACCAAATACAATTACACAAGATTACATTATATGAAGCCAAAATAAATGGTTTACTTTAGCTAATCCAAATGAAAGTTAGTTTTATTGCATTAGACCAGAGATTGTTTTTCCATGTACAGCACATTCGTCAGGATGGAGTGTGCATATTTAAGTGTTTTCTTGTGTGAGTAAGTGATTAGTCCATCCAGGCGTGGGCTTCAGGGAGCCGTGGGACCTTGGAGCTGGACTGATGCTGGTGCACTGCGCTCGAGGAATGACCAGACTGCTCACCAGCAGGCCTAAAGATAAAACCAGAGGTAATTTACTGCGACAGAAGTGATACACTGGAGGAGTTGTAAGATATATCTGCTCTAAGATGAAGACTACCCATTTATTTTGAATTGATTGTTGTCATCACAGACTTAATGTTAGCAATGACACTTGTGATATCTAGCTTGCACTTGTGATATCCAACTAAATCTAATGTCAGAAATTGTACATGAAGCCAAAGGTGGTTGCTAACTTAAACTACTAGTAGTGCTTCCATATTGGAAACCTAAAGCTGTGTTGTGAGGAAAATGGACTAAAAAACATTTAAGTCCGTCCAACTACTGGTATAATGTGTGATTTTGCTTGTTTGATAAATGTACTGTCTCTTCTAAAAATAAATGAAATTAAGCTGCGTTTTTTTTAATGTGCGTCTTTTTGTCTCACCCAGGTGTGGTCTCTTGTTGCTGCAAACAGACTCTCGTTGGCTGGAGTCTGAGGAGGCGGAGGTGCTCTCGGTGGAGCTGGACTTGATGGAACGGACTGACGGAACATGGGCTTGAGGTGCCGGGGGCTTTGGTTTGGCCATGTGACCGTAAGAGACAGAGGCACTCCACTCTAAGGAAGACGAAGGTAAGTGAAAGTGCACCAGGGATGATTTTAGGGGCTCAACTTGCATTCTCACTTTTCCATCCACTCCTACTACTGGGCAACATTTATAATGCTCGAAATGCATGACAGGTGGGTTTAACCAAACTCTTATAGAGCAAAAGTATTTAGTGACTATAAAGATACTAAGAGTATGTAAATCATGGTAAAAAATTTGAGTTGTCATCAAGGCTCAACAATTATGATTTTTTATTTTTATTTTTTTAACAAAAATCTTTGTCTTTTTGTCACGCTAACCTGCCATATTGTATAATATTCTTCTTCAGACAAAAATGACCATTGCATCTTAGCACAAAAATTCAATTAAAAAGATCATGTAGAAAGACTAGTCAGCTTAGTCTTACCAGAGTTGTCCTCCAGCCTGAAACGCCCAAAGCAAAGATGTATCCTCCACTGTTTCCTGACGTTTTCCTTCATAAGACAGTGAAAGACGAAGATAAAAAGCCCTAGAATGAAAAAATATACATTAAAAAAACACTGCATTAAGACCTTCAGTGTTACACAGAGAGACATGCAGAGGGAGAGTACACTTGCACTTGAGTGGAGGCTTTGTCTGAGGGTTATAGAAGGCCACGATTGGAGTTGCATCAGTTCAGATAAAGAAGAGCACAACAAAGAGGCGCTCAGAAAAAGGAGGTTGTGAAACAGTTTCATCAGACGGTTTGATTTGAAGTATGCTCTGTCTATACGAGGAGCAAGATGTTCAGGAAATGGTTTGGAGGAACAAGCTTTGTATAAAATATAAAGTTGAATAAATCACTGACAATCCACAATCACAACTTTTATGCAGTTATGTCAATGTTATCACAATAAGTGTCTTGTATATTGTGGTGTTAAGTAACTGCTAATTGCACAGTTAGAATAGAGGTATGTTTCTCAACCAGAGGTACAGGTACCATTGAGTATTTGGAATGATTTCAGGTTTTAAAAGGTGTTTTTGTGTTTTTGCCTTTTTGTCAGATATATTTGATATAATATTGCTTATATAAACAAAGAGTAATAGTAGTTTCAATGTCAGAGAAGCGTTTAAGGTTTTGAGGGGTTGTGTTACTGCTATTGCACATTGTTACATGGTACTTAAAGAGATAGGTGCACTTAACCTTACACAGCAAGATGCATTCACATGATATTTGTGAGTTCACAAACTCACAAGAATCCATCTTGAAGGACTCCCACTCTAAAGTTAAGTGGCCAGGCAGACCAATCACAGAGCAGCATTGAGGTTTGTATGGAAGCCAAAGGTGAAGCGCCCAAATTAACCAAAACAAACATGGCGACGCCCACAGACGTACTTCAGATTATTTTAGCATCAGCACTGACTATTTTGTGTGTGAAGGGAAGATGTCTATGACTATTTTGTTTGTGCATTTGACAGGGAAGATGTCCCTGCTTTTCTCTCAACTAGATGTAATAAAAGTTAGATTTTTCGGCTTGTTCCACTGTGGCTAATCAGATTCAAGTAGTCATCGTGATGTTCCATGTTTTCTGATCATTTTCGGTGAGAGCCATCCCAGATTCATAATGTAACTCAATTCAGAGTGGAGGCATGTTTCTTTCAGGCGCATTTGGGACCTTGCAGGGAGTTGAGTGTGGAGAACAGGAAGAGCATGGCAACTCGGGCTGGACCCCAGGTGAAGAAGCCAATGGTCCAGGTGAGTCCCAGGAGCAGAGTCAGACTGGCTACGCCCTTCAGGTCCTTCATCAGACCACTATGGATTCCAGCCGGACTGTTGTACCGCATCCTCCGGATCTGGATCAGGACCACAATGAACACCTGAAAAGAATATACAAGGAATTATTACTATTTGGCTGACTGTAAATGTATTGGATACGTATTGCATGTAGTGGCAATATGTTGGACAGCGTAGATCAAGGGGGCCCTTGTAGACTTGGACTAAAACAGGGCTAAACCAAGTCCCAATGAAGTCTTTATTTTGTCGTAGTATATGCAACTTTGAACATACCCAAAAATGCTGTGAGAAGTGGAGAACTTCAAGAGAACTTACTGCAATGTTGAAGAGGAAAACTAGTGCAGCATATCCGACCACCGACACATAAAACGTCACGTTGTCCTGAATCCAGCAACTTGTGGAAAAAGAACAGTGTCATGTAGTGTCTCTTTATGTGTGCATGCCTATAATTTTCACATACTGTAAATGCAATAAGGTCATGAAGCACCCTGAAAATGAGGTGACAAAATAAAGAGTAAAGAATCTCAAGCTATAGCCAACTAAAGGTTTGTTTCAGTAGGATTTTTATGACCATGCCTGGTTGTGTTTTCCAGTTTTAGTCATTATTTGCACTTGCCAGCCATAAAGACCATATCTACTATAAACTGAATGTTCTTCAACCTGTTATTATCTAAAATTGCGAAAACAAACCTTTTTTCAATAAATTCTTTGAGAAAACAAGAATACAGGAAATATTGTGAATCCATCTCAAACTCACAAGTTGTCACCGTTGTCCAGTGGCTGCACACTCGGGTTAGTCACTGTGTACAAGTGACTGCCATAAGCCTCTCTGTCAACGATCAGCACCACCACACAGACCACCAATGGGATCCCTGAAAAGACATTATCGTAAAAGACTGCTGTCAAATTCATGTGCAAATTGAAATACAACTTTCTAAAAATGAATACAATATAAACTATAATTTTTTAAGATCTTTTCTTATTGGCAGGAAAATAATGCTTTGGTTTAATAAGATTGTTGTTTGGGGTGTCTAAAAATAGTTTGGTTAAGTTTATAAACTAATTGTTAAAGACAATAAAGTAGGACATGCATTTACTTTGACATGTTGACATGTTTCTGCTGCTAGCTGCAAGCCATACTGTATTGTCTTTAAAAATTACCCAAGAATTTAATGTTCAAAAGAAGACAAAATGCATGGTTTTGGATTAGTTAAGTTTAGTTTTATAGGTGCTCTATTTAACTTTTTTGGTGGGACCATGGTTCTCCCATTATAGAGATGTTATTGCTTTGCCTGGAATGTTCCACAGTATCCATTATATCTGTATTCATTCAGTCACAGGAACTTTGGAAAAAGCATGCACTCTCACTCTGAGCAGGGGCCTTTCTCCACAGATATGACCTGTAACTTGGCCTTGTGGCACCCCTGCTTGTCACCATGAAGACAGATAAGTTTAATATACTGTGGAATATTCCAGACAATAAAGGCAATAAAATCTCCGTGGAGACAAACAGGGCCAAACAGTCAGGCCGTCTTGCGGAAAAGTTACATCTTGCATGTTCTACCTCAAACATCCTACACCTTTTGAATAGTTCATTTCAAAACACAGTTAACCCCAATGTGCCTCTGGTAGTCTAAATACAACTCTTGATATGCCCCCATTTAAATGAAGTGATCTTTGGCATTTGTATTATTAACTTAAGCCAAAAGGAACAGACCCAAAACTATAGTAAAGAAAAATTAAACCATCACTTACCCCACCCAAGTGCACAGAACTTGAGTATGTAGGAGGGCACATACACATTGAAAACTTTGACTAATGCAAAGTACATATTAACAGCCTCTAATCCCATCCAGGTGAAGGAGGCCAGCAGGAAGTAGTGCAGAGCAGATGCCACAAAGATGCACAGACCGTAGACACCCAATGATGAGAACCAGGTGTTGACCAGAAAGACCAGGTTCAAGCCCAGAAGAGCAAGTGAGAGGTTTATGAGGATCTGAGAGGGATAGTCCCGACGGAGCTTCCTGAAACAAGACGGAAAGATAGATAATAGTTGTAAAGTGAATTTGTACTAGTTTGAAAACAGCAATATTGACACAACTGAACCTTGGCATTTTGGAATTTAAAATGAAAATAAATTACAATTGGATTAACTGAATTGAACGGATTAGCCAAAGGACAAACTGACTCAAAGGCAGTGTAGGTGAGCACAGTGATTCCCAGAAACAGAGAGGAGACTCCACAGCCCAAATAGGAGATGATGGTCAATTTGTACTCGTCCTTTGGGTCCACAGGTTTTCGAGACACGTCCTGCACGTAGACACATGATGATAGTAGCACAACACCTTACAATTGATTCAAAATCGAAATTGAAATCAAAATTGGCCCAATTCTAAAATTATAGAGGGTGTTATTATTTTTAGTAATAGAACCACAGAATGTACCTTATACATGGAACAGTATCTACAAATGGAAATTAATGTGGTACTTTCTCCTGATTTGCAAATCTAATGGTAATTTTTTTTCCCCACAAAATCCTGCAGTCTTTAAAAAAAATAAAATACACTCAAATGTTAAAATGAAAATCATACAGTGACTGAATTCTCCTAAATCCATCAAAATCCAACCCAATCCAATGATTCTCAGACTTTCTACGTAAAGTACCACTTCATAAAATTTATCCACAATAAATCATGACTAAACTGGGTGTAGACCAGGTCTAAATGACTAACACCAACTGTAATGTAACACAGAAACTTAAAATGATGTTTGATTTCAATAAGGCTCCAGGATGATAAATGTCCTTCGTAATTTGCTGTTACATTTCATGTCTTGTGTAGGGAGCTGCTGTATGCATTGACTATTTTTGTGCTTTGATGCCCTCTAGTGGTAAATAGACTTCTGTGCAGAATAGTTCAGTTAATTCTTTATAATAAAGAATTATTGTAAAATGAACTGTTTATACCAGAAGTACTCCAAAGTGAGTGAGGTGGTCACACAGACAGGTGGTGTAGTGAGAAGAGCTTATGAATTTACGGCAGCCAGAAGGGTCCCAGCCTCCCTGTCCATCTGAGGGCAATAACACAAATCAAAAAATGTTATCCAAATGAAATGGTCAGCTGTGGGTAGAGCTTACCATTTAGGTTAAAGTTCCAGTAAACGCATTGGACATCCTTGTTATCCTATGGGGAAATATGTTTTAGTTAAGTATACAAGAAAAACAGCTGCATGCTACAGTAATTACTATATCCGACTTATCACTCACTCTAGTGCGAACATTTTTCTTCATTTTATGTAGTATTAGGTTTATATGATGAGATTTGAATTGTAGATGGTCCAATAATAAACTTGCATAACTGGAACCACATTATGTTAAAGACAGGTTTACTGTGATTATCCTTCTTTAAAGTTACTGTTAAAGTGGTATGAATTAATTTCAATATTATTGTTTATCATGATATTTTCAGAATCAATATATCACACTTCAAAATGTGTTATCGTGACAAGCCTACTATAGGTACTATATAGTAGTAGTGGTAGTGATAGTAGTAGTGGTTGCAGTAGTAGTGGTAGTGAATCATACATGGTTGGGTTTGAGATGGGACAGTGTAATTAGGACATCCTCCTGCAGGTCTGTGATCCGGGAGCTGGCGTTGGTCACACTCGCTGACACCACAAACGTGTTCAGGATCAGGTCGTTTGGAGTTTTGTTCTGGAAAGTTAAGTTAGAAAATATTCTACATAATTTTGAGGCAACCATTAACAGCAAAATCCAGTTTTATAATAAAAAATCAGTGTGTTTTGAACATTTTATGGATATTTATGCTGAGATTGCAACTGACACTTACTGACAAGTGTATATATGCAAATGGTGTTTATATTTTAAATACATCTTTTTTATAGTACTTTAATTGTCTCTAAATGTCTTTATTGATCAAGAGTTTTAATATGTTCAAATAAATCAGTACTACTGTAGCTGCTCAGACGTTGCTGTATGAGAGTTGAACATGAGTTGTACCATGAAAAGCCGCGGGACACCAAAGAATTGAAACTGAACTCTTGGTGATGTGTGATTTTCGATGCCTTGAGGGAAGCTCTGCTGCAGGATGGAGGGCAGCGAGATGAAAGCCACTGTCCCATTTTGAGGATGTCTGTTTATGAAAATCTATACAAAACAAATCAATGATCAAATAAATGTATAAAAAACATTGACAGCTTTGATTACTAATTAACCATGCATAATAAAATATGGCACAATTATGGACTTTTTATTTTGTTTTGTTTTTTATAAATATAAAAATACAATTAATGGTATATTTCCCTAAAGATTTTGGACAGTATTGTTTTCTGCATATACCCTACCAGTCAAAGATTTGCACACACCTTCTTTTAAAATGTGATGTTCTTAAAAAAATTTATACATACGGAACACATCAAACATTACGATCTAAGATATATGGAATTATGTAGAAAAGAAAAAAGTTAACTTAATTAAAACATATATTATTAAAATATATATTTTATATTCAAATTCTCAAAGTAGCCACCCTTTGCTTTGTGGACAGCTCTGCAAACCCTTGGCCTTCTCTCAGTAAGCTTCCTCTGAAATAATTTTCGCTTCAACACTTGTGCCTTGTCAGGGACAAAACATGCCAAAAGTGCAAAGCTGTGATCTACAACGCAAATCATTATGGAAATAAAGAAGAGCCATAATTGAAAAAGTGTGTCTATACTTTTGACTGATAGTGTATACTTTTATTGTTGTGACATAAATAATAATATAATTGTTCATAGACTCACTGACCTCAGGTGTTAGTCCCACTCGGCCTGATAAAACCCCAAAGCTCATAGCCTTGAAGTGATCTGGGTCCACATCCACCACAGACATGCCAACATACGGAGATGCCAAGATGGTGGAGTCATTATATCCAGTTATTTTGTCACCCAGAGACTCGGTGATGTTCAGGATACTGCAATATTAAAAATAAAGGAGAGTTCTTAATCACACTATGATTTGTCAAGTATGTAGATACAAAATTTGTTGTATACTCCATTCCACTTTGAAATTGCAGTCGATTATGATTTATTTCTGTGGATTCCAATAAAAGTAAGGAAATATGCAGGTAAAATGTTGAACAATTAAGATTAGGGATGGTCCAATATGAATTTTTTTGAGACAATATTTATCATGCAGTTGTGACCGGTATCTATACCGATATTAATATTAATACCAAGTTAGTTTGTGAATTTGACTATAACTTTTCTCTTTTTTTTTTTTTTTTTTTTTGCTTAAATTGCTCTTTTTATTCCATTTTCACTTATTTGTCTATTTAAAAAGACAACTCTGATGTACTGAAGAAAAACTGGGAATGAATGTTTGCATATATTGTGTTATATTGGTGTTGTATGTAAGGATAACTATACCTGTTGACAATTATAACCTGTAGACCACACTAATAATTAAATAAGAGAAGCCTATCTAATGAAACACTTTTAGCTGGATTTTTTTTAAATACTTCAAGGTCTAATCTGGCTCTTACGTGTTGATGAAGGGTTGTAGGTTGCTTTTACTCTCCAGCACATTAGAGATCACGTCGAGCAGAGCCTGTCCCAGAGGAGGAGTAACCACACTCACAATTATAACGTCCACCACTTTGTTCAGGATTGTGGCCAAATCGTCACAGTTCAGACTGGACTGGTTCATCAGAAAATCCTGAATCATGTCCAATACATCCGCTGCATTTTCTGAAAACAAAACAAACTAAACAAAATAAGGTTTTTTTTTAATCAACGAAAACTTGTGCTGTTAACGTGACACAAACCTGCAGTAACTATGATGTTGTCCAAATCAGGGATGCCTTCTACCACTAGAGGGCAGCTGCTTAAGTCTGCATCCAGCCAATAAGCGTGCAAACAAATCTTACTGTGGAAAATGTTCATTACTCAGTTAAAAAAAAATTAAATCATTTTAGCATAATTTATTCAAAACCACAAGTCCTCTTATATCATAATTATATTTTAGCTAAGCTCACTGAATTGCCTTTGTTTGTCATGTCCAATTTGTCATAAAATAGATCAAATAACATTATGTAGTAAAGTCAATACCAAATCCACTGAGATATTTACTTGTTTGCCCTGGGATTAGATGTGAACCAAATTAATCCTTTTACAGCCTGTCATAAAACTGTCCATCCATAATATTTTATTGTTGTGAATCGACACATTATGAGGGCCCTGAACGCATCTCACCAGCTTTGTAAATAAAACCTGGAAGAAATCAATGTCTAGACAGCCTTTGGTTTGTTGATGTGCTGAACTTTGTTGACCGAAGATACACAGGTGCAATGTTCTCTTTTCTTGAAGTTACAACAGACATAAATCTATAACCAAGATTTAAATAATATTTATTTTTTTTAATTACCAGTGGCGTGTGGCAGATTTAAGAGGGTTTTTGGGGCATGGTAGTGATTTATTCCTCCCTCCTGGAGTGTCAGGCCAATGAAACTGTCCTTCTCTGGTCTGACGAATTTCAGCATTGCACTTAAAATCAACTATGGGAGGAAAAAAAAAAAAAAGGCAATTATGAAAGCAATTGCTTTAAATTTTTTCTTTTCTCGCTATATTTTGCTATATTTGAAAACCCCATTTCTTTGTAGATGTGTATGAAGTGGGCAGTATGACCATAACCCGGACTCACAGATGCGGTAGATGATGATGCCCACTACTGCGATGGAGACTGAGTCATTGTTAAAAGGTTTTTCTAAGAGACTCTCGATCAGTTCTTCGATTTGCAAAGGCTCCAAGTCTGACATGGACACCTCCACCTGGAAAACACAGCTCTTTCTGCACACACAGACACAGTACACAGATTATTGTTATTGTACATTAATAGCCTAATGTAATACTGTCCATAGCATATTAATTATTAACAATTAAATGAACTCTACCTGAGTTCTTTTTGTCTCGCTAAGAAGTCACTGCTACTGTGCAGATCTCAAAATCTTAAGAAAATTGTATTTATATATTTATTTAAAATTGTATTTATTTTTTAATATGTAGTAGTAGTTTTTGTTTGAAATGTTAAATTGGATCCAGCAATGTAAGTCAGGTGTAGTTGTCATACCTCCAAATGCTGTCCACAAGTGCCTGTAGAAGAAAAAATATAATAGACACAAGACTAAACAAATATACAAATAAAAAGAATGTGTCAAAGATAAATTGCATGTCACTTGTGGATTTGATTATAAGAAAATTACAAAACTTTTATCACTAGCAGTTTGTAAGCAAAAGTTATTGTAGTGCAGACAACTTGTTTTAAAATATTTAGTTTAGCTGTACATATTTAGTTTTGCATATGTATTTAATAAGTGTATTAAGGAGGTTATCAGACTGGTTTTAGAAGTTACTCACTCGAACATGAAGGCTGTGGTGAATTCTGTAAAATAAATGTCAGTATACAATTTTAAAATCCATGTCCTATATTGTGGTAGATTTTAAAAGTACTGATAGTAGTATAGTAACCAATATTCATTTTTACTTTGTAGTTTTGGAGAGCAGTTGTAGGTCCAGGACTGACATTGTGTCATCTGGCAAACTGGAGTTGAGCTGTGGAATACTGGACAGTTTAAAAATGTTTGTGCTTCTATAAATCTAGAAAATAACTTTTCGTGATGCATACCCAATATGCGATGGTCAGTTCTGGGTCACTGGCTCCTGTTATGGACACGTTGACCTGGACCTCAAAATACAGCACTGTAACAAAGAATATAAAACATATTTATAAAGATGTTGGCTAAGAGGTGGAGGTGGGCAATTAATCATGTGCATTGCAAGTTTGCTTTTAAATTGTTATTTTGAAATATAAAAATACATTTTGAATTATGTATTTCTATATTTATATACACATTTACATGTTATCAAATTTTTTTTAATGGCAGCAAAACAAAACAAAAAAAAAAAAAAGATTATTTTTTTGTCAGTATTGTCCACCCCACTGCGATGTTTTTCTGATAAATCACATTTTCAGCATTTATTGCTGAGGGTAGGAGACACAAGTTGGAGCTTGTCTGTCGTCATTGTCATTGATAATAGATAATTATATGGTTGTTGAGACTCACTGGAGACACTGGGTGTTGTTGCTACGTTTGTACTTAAAGTTGATTTCACCTCTGTAGAACTGACTGCTGTTGAGAGGGCATCTATGAAGAAAGAAACTAGCTTTAGCATTGTTGCAGAATCATTATCAAATTAATAGTATTTTGATAGAAATAAGCACTTTTCAGTATTCAAAAGAAGGAATATATTGTATTGATACAGCATATTGCTGTAACCAATACAGCACATTCTGATGCCGCTTGAACTCAGCCATAGAATAAATCAGAAATTGCTGCTACATTCCTACTTTACTGATCAACTGACCTGTTGCATTTGTCAGACTTGTTGTGAGAGTCGTGATAAAAGTTGACGTCACTTCCCCAGTTGTAGTGGTACGAGTTGGGACAGATGAAGAGGCAGGTGTCGGCCCAGGTGAACTGGCAGGTGTCGGTCCAGGTGAACTGGCAGGTGTCGGTACAGGTGAACTGGCAGGTGTCGGGCCAGGTGAACTGGCAGGTGTCGGCACAGGTGAACTGGCAGGTGTCGGCCCAGGTGAACTGGCAGGTGTCGGCCCAGGTGAACTGGCAGGTGTCGGCGGGTGAACTGGCAGGTGTCGGCCCAGGTGAACTGGCAGGTGTCGGTACAGGTGAACTGGCAGGTGTCGGTACAGGTGAACTGGCAGGTGTCGGCCCAGGTGAACTGGCAGGTGTCGGCCCAGGTGAACTGGCAGGTGTCGGTACAGGTGAACTGGCAGGTGTCGGCAGGTGAACTGGCAGGTGTCGGTACAGGTGAACTGGCAGGTGTCGGCCCGGGTGAACTGGCAGGTGTCGGCCCGGTGAACTGGCAGGTGTCGGCAGGGTGACTGGCAGGTGTCGGCAAGGTGAACTGGCAGGTGTCGGCACAGGTGAACTGGCAGGTGTCGGCACAGGTGAACTGGCAGGTGTCGGTACAGGTGAACTGGCAGGTGTCGGCCCAGGTGAACTGGCAGGTGTCGGCACAGGTGAACTGGCAGGTGTCGGCGGCACAGGTGAACTGGCAGGTGTCGGCACAGGTGAACTGGCAGGTGTCGGCACAGGTGTGAACTGGCAGGTGTCGGCACAGGTGAACTGGTAGGGTAGGGACAGGTGAACTTGGCAGGTGTCGGCACAGGTGAATTGGCAGGTGGCACAGGTGAACTGGCAGGTGTCGGCACAGGTGAACTGGCAGGTGTGGCAGGTGAACTGGCAGGTGTCGGCACAGGTGAACTGGTAGGGGTAGGGACAGGTGAATTGGCAGGTGTTGCAACAGGTGAAGTTGCAGGGGTAGGAACAGGTGAACTGGAAGGTGTCTGGTCAGGTGAAGTGGCATGTGTCGGGGCAGGTGAAGTGGCAGGCGTTGCAACAGGTGCAGTTGCAGGAGTAGGGACAGATGAACTGGAAGGTATTGGGACAGGTGAACTGGCGGGTGTCGAGACAGGCAAAGTGGCAAGTGTAGGGTCAGAAGATTCAGGGGTAGAAGCGATGGAGGTGAAAGGAGTGATGGGAGAGGTTGTGGATGGACTGGTCTCTGTGGGGGTCCGAATTGTAGTGGGGTCAGAGGTAGTCGTGGTGACAGCTGTAAAGTCTGACAAACAGAAGGAAATGTTATACAGTATTATCAAAGGCAATGTATGATATCAGTATTTGAAGAGTGAAAATTTAAATGTAGAGAAGCAAGTGTAAGTCATAAAAATCAAGGCCCTGTGAAATACATATAATATAATTTTATAATTTATGTCAGTTATGACCCCAGTAAAAAAAAAAGTAGAATTGTTGGCCTTTAGTCATGTCTTTTTAGTCTATCAAAATGTGTATTAATCTACTGTTTATTTAGATTATAAGGATTTATATGGGGCAGGAATGAGTGAGTTGCTGAAGCTGAAAATCTTTAACATTTAGGTATCTATTCAATCATGAGATTAAACTCATGATTTTATATGCTTAATCTGTCCTTATTTAATACATCGTTTCCTAGTACTTTTTTCTGCATACATTGTAAAAACGTAAATTGTTCTTTTATGAACTTCTGTGCAAGTCTTATAGTCCTGAGCAATTTGGGTCAGATACATAGAGATATGATCAGGTGATACTGTATCAGTATTGTAGATTGCATGACTATATATTAAATATGTATTATATATTATACAGTATCTATATATTAACTTGGCACTGAACATCACCAAGACTGAGGAACTCATCCTGGACTTTTGGAGGAACAGGAAGACAATACACACCCTGGATTCCACCTGTTCAAACTGTTGTCTTCTGGCAGGCGCCTCAGGTCAATACTAGCTAGGACCAGTAGACTAAGGGACAGCTTCTTCCCCAAAGCTGTCACCATACTGAATGGGAACTGTTGATTTGTTTTATTTGTTAATTGTTGATTCTTGCACTTTAACGGAGCAGCTCTGAATTTCATTACACTATTGTATAATGACAATAAAGGTTTTCTATTCTATTCTATTCTATTCTATATATTTCACTACATTTGTCAGTTTTTTTTTTTTTTTTTTTGTAGCTTATTGTGGAAATACAATGTTAGAAATGTAGATTTTTACATAGTAATAGTGAAGTATTGTTACCACATGCAATCAAATATCAGCGCATCAGATTTTAAGTTATGTCTCACATTATGAATGTGTGTGCTGTGATTTCCAGCTCTGTAAAAGTCTCTCACCGATAGCAGTGACATGGATGCTGGTTTTATCTGCCAGCAGCCACAGATCACTGTCTCTGTCGCTGAACATTGGTGTGAGGAGTTTTTGCACCTCAGACTGAAACAGTCCCACGTCCAATTTAGGAACAGTGTTCAGGTGCACCAGGGAACGAAACCTGAAGGGAAACAGCTTTTGCAATATATACTAATATACTAAGCTTTATTATATTTTTGAGTCAAAATCACAACTACAGCTTCATTCAATATTTCCATATTTAGGATTACTGCTATTTGTTTTGTGTAATCCACACATATGATCCACAGCAAACAAAAATATAAATTCTGTCAACCGGATAAACACACACCGACCCATACCTGTTTTTCAATTTACACCATCCACTGTAGTACAAACTCTGAGTTATTCAAACATTATAACTCAGGCCTCAAGTGGTAGGAGCACAGTGGGAAAACTGAAAGAAGAACAAGCCTTCTCGGGTTAGCTGTGTCATTTATATATGCCAGTATAGTCATGAGTGAGTGTTATATTTGATTATATTGGAGAAACTAAACAGACACTCCATAAGAGAATGTACCAACATCTTGGCAAGAGCAGCTCAGGACCCCAATCTGCCACACATCTCCATCTCAAAGCGACTAACTACACCTTTGAAGATTGTGAGGTACTGATTATAGACGAAGAAAATAAATTGTTTGAGATTGGAGTTAAAGAGGCTATTTTTGTTAGGAAACACAATCTGTTCATTTCACACTTAGTGCAGTTCAATAGACCTTGCTAACAAACAGAAACTGTAAACAAGTATGTGTGTTAGTTTCAGTGTAGTTTCAGTGTAGTCAGCTCCTCCCTTCAGGCAGATATAAGCCAGTCTCTGAGAGCAATCTGACCAGAAATGGTCAGCAAAACATCCTCACTCTAAATGTTTTGTCCAGTTGACAGAATTTAAATTTTTGTTTGCCATTACTGCTATTTGAAATTATAATGATAAAAATATAGTTTACATATGAATATACTGATAGTGATGCTAAAATCAGTTACCTGTCTGAAGATGGAGCCCATCGATCCTGTAAGAATAAAAATTAAAACACAAAGTTGCATATTTAGTAACATTTGGAGATGCATCCATTTTATTATGCATATTTTTATGGAGCTAAAGGCTGTATTGGAATGGACAGTTGTACCGTGAAAATCAAAGGGTCGTATTCGGGTAGCAAATCTGCAATGCCTTCAGTATCAGATCTGGAAAAAAAACAAATAAAATATCTATTTATATAATGTTGTTAAAAGATTTTACATAGTTAATTATGTTAGTACCTGGATGTTGAAGTGTCCCTGAACACAGAGACTAGAGGTAAAAAGACTGATGTCGGCAGCACTTCCTCCAACTGCAATAACACACGCACATACTAAGTAGAAGAAGTGATTTTTAATTACATGGTCCAGTACTGTACAAAACAAGAAAAATGTGCATTGGAAACTCTAAATCTCAGCTGGACTGTATGTCTATACTGTAAACTGTTGGGGGGTCCACCACCCTTTTGCCTCCATGAAGATGCTTCCTGGAATGTTCTACATATAGCAATAAATGCATCCTACTGTGGCAAGCTCATCGGATAATCAGTAGAACTTGTAATTACCCAGCGGTGGGCGATCTCTCTGGCTATGTACAACTCTGTGTTGTTCTTATCATCAGAACGGAAAATTGAAAACTTCATCTTCACTTCATAACTGGACCAGTCTGTAAGAAATACATTAAACACACAAGAAAACAGTTTCAGCAAAAGTAATTGAAGTGAATGACTAAATGTATTAGTCTATTGAGCTGTTTAGCGCTCCAGTTGTCAACTTATGATCGTGAATTGCCTCCGATTCATAAGTTAATTGTTACTGAATTGTTTTTTCTGAGGTGGAAGTCAATATTGAATTTGAGATTTGGAGATATAAAGCCGGTGGAGAGAGGGCTGTAAAATGCTTCATCAGTGTTTACTGCTTTTTATAGCACTGTTCCCACGCTGTTTTCAAAACCTGTCAAACTGAAGCTGACAAACTTGTGCACCATGCGTCAGCGGTGGAGATGGACTATGAGTCTGTTCTTTACCCTTATCACTTTGATCGAGGCTTTGGTTGATGTCTTTGTTTTTTATTTGTATGTATATATATTTTAATCAGTTTATATCCCCAACCTTTTAAGTAAATCAAGCTCTAATATTGATAGGTGGAGGCTTTAAAATAATTTCATCCATGTTTTCTGTAGATAAATGAAGGGGGACTCTGTAACCTTCCTGGGGGCATGTCTCATAGCATGGTATATTTATCTTGCATCCATTCAATTACAGGCTTTTTTATTGTTAAAGAAAATACTTGGCCTGGCCTTTCCCACTTGTCTCCATGGAGATGGAAAGGTTTTATGCTATACTTATGCCAGAGATCTTGAGTCTCAGGTTTCAAATTCTTCAATACCTCCAAAACCCTTCAAATAGAATACTATTTAAATAGACAGGACACTTTAACAAGTATTAAGAACTTACGACACTCCAGGCTGGTGTCCTGTACAGCGGAGCACGTCGCAGTGTCCCATTGGCTCTCGTCCCACTTGACCACACTGCCCTCAATGCATTTTAATAATTCGTCTTTGCTGAGCTCCCTACTCCACATTCTGAACAGGGACACTTTTCCTGTCAGACGTCCCACAGGCAGAACCTGAATACTTCCTCTCACCCACATTATGAGATGCCCCAAGTGTCAGAGAGCCGTTAGGGGCCAGCTGGCAACAGGACGGGGATGATGAGCCTTGCAAGGGGTCTCCATCAGTGTCTCCTGAGAGCAAAAACACAACTTAAACTAATGGCATGATTCCAAAATAAAAGTGTAGCGTTTTTGTTTTTGTTTTGTTTTTTATTGGCAGAATGTGTGAACATGATACTGATTGCATTGGTTTACCATTTAATGGTAACACGAAACACTTGTTAAAATGATTAAAAACCTTTTGCTAATAATTATTTTTTAAATAAGTATCGTGCAGTGTAGTAAATAAATTAAACATTACACTACCAATCATATCAATCATTGCCAATGTCAATGAACCATCTGATATGATATGTCTTGACATAACTATTCTTTCTGTACATACCGGGTTTGAAATCGGTTGAGTATAGATCTTTGCCATTGAGCTCACTTGTTTCAATCTCCAGTGGTTTCCCGTCTAGGTACAGAACCAGAGCGGTCTTTTTGGACCAGGTGATGCACAGGTTGTACCACACTTCAGGTTTCACAGGGGAGCTTGTTATTGTTCTGAACTCCAATCCAAAAATCCAGATGACCAGATGTTTGCTTTTGCCCCCAAACCCCAGCTCTGCATACGGATGGACTGGGTGGCGGTACATGAAGGCTGTCCATAATGGCGAATTTGAGCTCTAAGTAGAAACATGGAAAGCAAGAAAAATAGGTAGTTATTTTTGGTTGTTTGAAAGTGTAGTAAGCGCAACCAATACTGAGTCTAAACTAAAAACACTTCAGCTATTTCTCCTACCACACCTGCAGTGGGGGAAACTGACAGAAGAGTTGCACTTAAAAACTGCCCAGATATCTTTATTTTTATTTTTTTCAGAAGAAAATATATTTTTGATGTTCGGTCCACCTTATCTTAGTTTCAGTTATATATTGTCTTTTATTTGGAAGTAGTAATACCCAAATACTGTTACATAGTTTTTTTCTATTATGATGTTTTTGTCTGTGAGATTGATGGATTTTTACTTTGAATAGAAATATTATACTAAATGACAGGTAGAATAATATATTTCGGGCCCAATATTGTAAGTATATTTTTTGCAGTATTTGGGAGATGTTTGTTATAATGCGATAATCCTGAAAAAGTAACTTCTCTAGGTAATTGCTGGTTAATTATGCTACTTATTTGTTGCAACGCAGGTCTTAATGATATATGATAATATAAGGATATTGTCTAATGAAAAATGGTTGATTGGGATTATTTTTGCTTTATTTTTATCATGTCAGTGGCATAAAGTAGTTTGAATATTAGCGTTTATCATAATATTTTTCTGTAGCAATATATTGTACTTCAAAATTCATTATTGCAACAGCCATACTCCTTACTTCTGTACAGTTTAGGCTACTTTACCTCGCTCTGTCTAAACTGATTATTGGTGTATACCCCTTGGTATTATTGGTCTGTGGTGTGTGCCCCATGTTGTGTACCCTGTGGTGTATACCTGGATCTTTAGACTGAAGCATACAGTGAACTCTTTTAGAGCAGGGACCAGCACTTGGTTCTGCAGAGTCCAGGCGGCACAGGTCTGAGTGAAGTCGGCCACTTTCCCCCAGAGACTCAGCTGAGGGCCTGGATATACAGTACACTGTCAATCATTAACCCTAAATGCATATAATACATCCTCTATACTGTGTTTATCTATACAACAGGTGGTTGTGACAAGAGAGGGGAAACTATAGAGACATCTAGATCCCTTTGATTTTATGAAAGGTTTGAAAAAAATTGTGGGAAAAAAAGTAAATGTAGTTTATACTTTATAACATAAGTAGGATTGTGCATTCAATCAAGTTTTAATTGTGATTAAAACATTACAATATGTATAGCTGAAAACACAAACATTTTACTTCTGCTATAAATTATGGTTTGTTCACCACAGAAAAAACTAGAATGGTTTTAAAACATTATTTTAAAACTGAACTCAATACCACATCTATAGGTTACTTATAACTTTTGACAGTACACAAATAATTGTTTCCAATAATCATGAAGCCTCTGTTTGACACATACCTACAGACATAACATAACAGTATTTTAACACAATACATTTCATTGCTGTTTTACACATGCAATGACATTTGTTTAGGTATGGCATTAATTTGTAAAGATCCCACAAAAATGTACTTTAGGTTTATATAATGATTCTCAACTACAGACTTTTTCAATTTACGTCATAATTACATAATTATTCAGATTCAGTTATCAAATGTAATGAAGTATCGTTTTACACTATCAGCTACAATGAACATTTTTGAACACATTTCCTACCAAAAATCTAGCCCTCTATTACATAATCTTGATAAATTTGGGGGAAAAAAACTCACCTTCTGCCCAGCTGAAGACAGTTGTGGTCAGCACACACAAAATAACCACATGATAATACATAATGACTTGATAAAATATGAAATGTACTGATTTAAGTTGTAGATTTGCAAAGTATAACTGGTGAATTTAAATATTAAGTTACCAAATATGCGCAGAATTCAAATGTCTTTGTTAAAATAATAGTAATATAATACTAAAATACAGAGTCCCTAGATCACACACGTTTCACAGTGAATGAAGAGGAACTACCCAGGTGTTTCTATATGAACTGGGAGGACCAAATCAGAAAGCAGTGCTGTGATTGGTCAAATGATTTTATATTTGGAAAATATAAGTTAATCATTTTCTAATCATTTTACTGTAACTTTAATTGAATTCCTGCATAGCATTATAGTCATTATTTTATTTTATTGATGATGACCAAATTTGGCATCAAATGTTTTACTTCTGTACTGTAGAAATATAACCAGTCATTAAAAAGAAATCCTGTCTCCAGGAAGTTGATGTAATCCTGATTATCGTGTTGTTTGTGTACACAGATATAGAAGATAAGAGGGAAAATGGATTTGTCAACATCAATATCTCATGTTGTAGAACCTGTAAAGAAAATGTGAGGCCGCACAGGGCAACATCTAATTAGGCTCAGCAAACAAACCCTGGTCCAGTCAACACACCACTATAAGCCTCCTGGAGTCCTGCATGTAAAATGTGAGACTACAGAGACTGAATTGTAATACCAGGTCGTGTAATTGTAATCATGCTTGAAATCTAATATTTGAATGAAATGAAAAATATCACCTAAAACATAGAATAACCAGGAGAAACCGATCATTGTAAAAATATATCAATAAACTGAGCATCACATTATGATTGAATTTGCCTATAGATGGCGCTATTAATTTCACAGAAAGCTGGCTCACCTTACAGATAACGTCGTAGCTTATTCAAATATATATGAATACAAAACACATTATTTTTATTAAATGTTTATTCTGTTTTAAAACAAAAGCTTGCTCTTTATATAAACTTTAAGGTACATTTAACAGCCACATGATTTGGCAAAGTGCATAAATGTTTATTTAAAAAAAACACACACAATAGAGACAAAAGCAAACAAAAGATTCAATTCTGTCAACTGAACAAGAGTTTTAGAGTGAAGATGTTTCGCCACGCATCCAAGCAGCTTCTTCAGTTCGAAGTGACTTTTTTTGTTTGCTATGGATCGTTCCTGGACAACTGCAGGATTACACAGACATAGTAGAAATAACTCCCAAATTGTTATGATCATGGCTTATTGAAATAACAAAACAAAAGTATAACATTTATGACAACAAACAATGTGCTTTGTAAAATCAAATCATTTATAATCAGATCATCTTTGACTTGTCTCATTATAGACAGGTCCAGATGTTTTATTTGTTGCCACAGTCGGTGCAGAGGATGTCTTTGCCTTCAGCCACAAAGCGTTTGTTGGACAGACTCAGGGAGCACTTCTTACAGTTGAAGCAGTACTCGTGCCAAGAGCAGCCCTCAAATGAGATCACGTTTATGCCTTTTCCAAATCCTGAAAAAGATTGACATTTGTTTTTTGTTTGGTTTAAAATAGCAGCTATGCGCCCCCTAGTGCCCATTAATATTTTACACTTTAATTGCAGCACTTAGTTTTCTTTTAAAGCTACCATCTCTAATTAGCAGCAGTGGGGGATTTGCAAGTCTTGGTATGGACTCGAGTCTTGAGTCACTATTTTGATGACTTGACTTCATAAAATGGACTAAGACTTGGGACTGGACTTGAAAGTCCATGACTCAGGACTTGACTTGGACTTAAGTCCTGTGACTTGAAAAGACTTTATGCTTCTATTAAAAAATATTTTTCTCTTTACAGTTGATACATATGATACGTTGATTTTAGAGGAACAAACTGGAACATGCGTTTCCTACTGCTCTGTTTGTTACTCTGAATGTAAAAATAACTGAAGTACTATGATACGGTATCATCAAATGCCTTACAGTAATACACAATACAGTAAAACAAAGGGAACTACATAGACCATGAGCCTTCCATTTCAGTGCAAACTACATGACAAAAATATCAAATTTCAGTTATGACCGTTATGATTTGAGGTCTTGTCAAGACATTTAAAAAAGAAAAAGTAGCATTTCTATAGCTCTTTAAGCCTCTCCAAAATATTGAATATATAAATATACCATGATTTTTTTTAAAGCAAAATTTAGTTTATAAATTGCAAAATGCTAGTTGTTTTTAGTTCTTTGGTTCAAAGACTTGAAATGACTTGAAGCTCAGAGCAGAGGACTTGGACTTGTGGGCCACTGACTTGGGACTTGTAGTGGGACTTAAGTTAGACTTGACGTCATAGACTTGAGATTTACTTGAGACTTGCAAAACAATGACTTGGGTTTTATCTATATTAACTTTTGCAGCAGTCTGGCCTATTATTTGTCATAAAATGTGTACTTCTTGCAGTGAGCTAAAAAGTTAAATTAAAAATCATACTTGTCTGTAAAGGTAATGGATCTAACTAGAAGTCAAAGACAGGAGGAAGTATAAAATGCAACACTTCAAAGTGGTTACTGAGAGACAGAAAATCTTAGTACCTAAAATGAAATAATGAATCCCTGGTCCCTTGTCTCATGAGTGTAGTGATATCTGACCTGTGATGGGGTTGTTGCAGCCAGCGCACTTCTTGGCCACGTTGTTCTTGTAGCAGTCCACGCAGAAGGGCTGGTCCTGGTGGTTTGTGAAGCTAGTCCCGGCCAAAGGTTTGGAGCAGGACACACACACGAAGCAGTGACTGTGCCACGGCTGTTCCTGGTACGTCACACCCCCAGAGGTGATGGGCTGAAGCAGAGGAGAGACAGCTTAAAGTAGGGTTGCACCATGATGGAAACAGGAGCATCATCAGTTAAGAGAATACTGAATTATGAACTCCTCAACTACAACAAGAAATAGGCCTATATGTCATCCACAACAAGTTGGTGGAGGTCTAAACTACAGAATTATAATTTTTTTCTTTAAAAAGACAGAATTATTTTCTTGTTTGCAGAAGATAGTTGATTATCTAACTGAATAACCACAGCATTGTGTTTAACTGTGCAACCCCTGTTGACAAGCAAAACAAATACTTAAGTGTTATATAAATGAATCAGTCGATTATAAATGTCATGTAAGTAAAAGACCCATTATCAAAGTATGTTTCTGAGTTTTAATACATATACCTTTTTACAGCTGAAGCACTGCTTGGCAAATTTCTTGTCATGGCAAGAGCTGCAGAAGATGTTGTCATCCTTGGAGACAAAGCTCTGAGTTCCTATTGGACGTTTACAGTTGGAGCAGGTGAAGCAGTCATCATGCCACGATTTCCCTTTGTACTCCATGCTCTCTGTGTCTTTAGAGGAAACACAAAACATAGTAAGTGATGTAAAGTTACTTGGTGTTACTTTGTCTGACCTTTGTTCAGTTTTGTCAAATCTGGTTAACACATTACAGCCATCTGCTGGTTACAACTGCTTATTGCACTCTGTCTTCTGAGTCCTTCACAGACCCCTAATATATTTTAGTAGACTTGACCAGAGTGTTAAAATCACAAGATCATGAAGAGAAAATAGATTTTATGTGACACAATTTGTCATGCTTTTGGTGTGGGGCAAACACACTATACAAGGTTCCTGAATTGCTCATCATTTCAGCGATATGATAAAAAGCTCAATTATAGCAGTTTATTTTCAAAACTTTTCTCTGTTAGTATGAAAAAATACTGTCTATCCTAAGGTACACACTTAGATACACATATTACTTCATACAATTGCATAGTTGGTCTTTACAAGTGCAATTACACTATTTTGGCAGCACATTCAAAAGTTAAAGATTTGACCATTCATTTAGTAAAATTCAGTATGTTTTTGATTGAAAAACCCTATAAAATTACCCAAACTCTAACATAAACAAAGCATATATCTATCTCTACCACATGGCTATTACCAGGCAGGATAGGTTTGTAGCAGCCATTGCAGCGTGGTGCGTCCTCTCGGGAGCAACACTTTCCACACAGGATCCTCTCGTCTTTGGTGCTGAACGGCTCTTTGGCCAAAGGCTTGTAGCATTTGGCACAGCGGAAACAGTCCTCATGCCAGTGACGGTTCTTATGGGTCAGCTCCTATTCAAAGAAGAGGCACAAAAAGTTACAAAATGTTCATATTAATACACAATAAAAATAAGTAAGTAAGTGTTTTGTGTGGATTTAGTCCTGTTTAGTTTGGTTCAGCTCTGGTCCTAGTTATGGCTTATGGTTAATGGTTAATGATTTATTAGTGGTTTGGTTCAGTTTGCTTTGGTTTGCTACATGCTTATTCTTGATAATTATGTTCTGTATTGGTTATTATTTTGCATAAACTCTAAATTCAAATAATCAAGTCATTACTCAGTACGCTGGTTGCAGAACAATGTTTGAGAATGAAAAATAGCAAAAAGAGTATGATTAATATAAAACCTACTTTGGTCTCCACAGAGATGGGCCGGCGGCACTCGTGGCACGTGTTGGCACAGAACTTGGTGTGGCAGCGAACACAAACTGGACGGCCCTCGTTTCGAACAAATCTCTTCCCCCCTAGGTCCTCTCTGCAGTAGAAACAGTGAGTGCCTCCGTCTGCCATCGTAAAGCAGTCACCTGACAACAGTAGAAACATATTTCAAGATCGACATGTAATTTTTAATGTATTCCTTTAATGGGAAACTTAACTTTAATATGATGGAAATGAAAATATAAAAACAGTAGGTAAAACGTCAAAAGAGATCATATAGGCTTAAGTACAAGAAGTACAATTACTTCCAAGTAACATGTAGTGACTTATAACAACCACATGAGGGCGCCATTGAAGCATTGAATGTGATGCGGTGAAGCGGTGACGCACACAATTCTACCATAGTTTTAAATTCTTCAATTCTTACAAAAAATGACGGTATATTAAATTTAATTTACTTTACAAAGATATGCACTTTTAAGATTCAGATGATTTAAGATTTAAGATGTCAGTTAGACATAATCTCACAGTGGACAAATTTTCTAGTTTTCTATTTTGAGGGGGCTAACCACTTTGCCATTACAAACTCAAGCAGAATAACTGTAAATTGATAACTCATCATTTTCCACATTACACAATACCAGGAAAATAAAGCTCCTTAATTACTAGACTTCATACAGACCAGTAAGGATGTTATAAACATATTTTAGTTGAATTATCTAAGATATTTCTCATACCACAAAATCTGAATTTTCCACAAATAACCATGCACACCACAAGTAGTTTCCTGCATAATCACTACGTACTTACACCATTACATTATGCAGTAATTGCAGAGTTCAAGCGGAAATAAGCAACATTTCCTGTTGTTGAAATCTTCGCTCACTCATACAAAATATCACTATGGAAATGGCAAAACAAAAAGATGGCAATATAGATTAAGAAATGTAAAACAAATAGTACCTCACTAAAATATCTTGGTGATGTACTTGTTGTGGCAACAAAGGTATTGTGCTACTTTTGTTGTGGTAGTTAGTATTGGTGATACTTTTTTCCTTGTGTGTTACTTTAATTTTACTGTTTATTGCATGGAAACGCCAAAATGCGATTGTTCTTTCAAGACTAAAATAAGACACAAAGCTTCATGAATGCCTGTTTTCCCTTTTATACTGTTACAGCAGAGGACAGCTACTATGTACTTCTACTTTAGTGACACTATTTTTGAAGTACGCTTGGATATTTTGAACTCTTTTTTATTGTAATTATTTCCTACTCTGTGTACCTTTACTACTTAGATACAGTTTGAATAAGCCCCTCCTCCTCCTCTCACACTGATGTAAGCCGCACTTGGTGAAACGTGTTGAGTCCAGACTAGAGCAGGTTCACGGTGACTGACCAGCAGGAATCTAACCCCCATGCAGAGTTAGTGTTCACGTTTAGGCCGCGGGGAACGAGGAATCCCTGGTATGACTTCTGCGGCTGCGTTTGGTCTTTTGACGACTCCATGACACAAATACACTCCGACCGCTCCCAGGAAACAGAAAAACCACAAACTATACTTCTGTTGTATAGTATGGACTACTAAAAGGGTGAGAGAGAATACAAGGGGAATGTTAGGCTGGTTAGGTTAGGCTGCTTTTAGATTATTTTCCTCATATTTTTGATGACCAGAAACAAGATTTTTACTCAGTGCCATTTAATGTGCCAGAAATATTCTATTTTGTCAGCTCCTTTACTGCCACAAGATTAAAAAACCCAAACCTATTCACTGACGATATGCAGTGACTGATCCTTAATTTGATTAAAAATTTGCACAATATGTCTGAATGCACAGTAGACACCTAAGTCTTCACTTTATGTTAGAATAACACATAAAAAATAGATCAAATACTTTCTCAAATCAAAGGGAAAACCATGAGGTAAAATAAGGCCAGATCAAACCCAAATTTGAGGCATTTGAGGTGGGAAGAATAGCCATAAATTGTACTCAAACGAAAAATGTTTTTGTGTAAATTTGCACTTATTAAAAATAAAAAAAAAAAAAAAAATGTACAGTAAATAAATTAATATGTATAATCAATTGAGCATTCCTTTGATACACACATATTTATACAGTATCTATACATATTTTGATAATGTACATATTTCCACTAGTTTGCCATTTTTCTATTTTAATTCTCAATTATTAAATCAATTGCACAACACATAAAAGAGAATGAACTTTTACAATAAACACAGGAATTGATTCATCGTTTTCTCCATCCGGGCACTTTAAAGAGGAAGTAGCCTGTTTGTCTTTGGCTTGACTCAGGTATGGGTCAGGTTAATGTTTCCAGTGCTCTACTTAAGTCAAATAATGTCTTTTGTCCTCTTCATTGATCATCCTGTAAAGTCTAAAGCACCCGTGTTTGTCAATTGGGTGAGGTTCCATGTCCATCTTTGTGTAAACTTAGAAAAATCTGCAAAAGCACTATAAAATTAGTCCAAGGTACATAGAGTAGTGTTTGTTGAAGCTGTAGACGTGGTGTAGTGCAGTTCTGCTATCAGCTCTGGAGTATAATGTTATCTGATGGGAGCGAACAATATGCAGGAAGGAGCTGGTATTCAGGACAGTAGAGGAATAAATCAAGTTTATCTGACGTCATTGGACTGAAGACTCTGCTGGAGCAAGTTTAGCCTTATTTCATAACAATAAATTCAACATTGTGGACACAGATCACTGTCTTTCAAACGTACTGCCAATAATAACGTTTTATAATCTCAGTGGAAAATGCTAAATGCCAAAAGCTGAAAGTGTTCTCAAAACTGGAGCTGCACAGTTAACCTCTTACTATTGCACCCTATTTTTCCTAAAATGTCAGACTAAAATGACTCTCAATTCAAACGGAATCTGTTTCTGAACCCTTGGGAGCACAAACAAATGGTCAGACTTTGTGAAACTATGGCTCTATAGTTTTGGCCTTTGCTGTCTACTCTAATTTTAAGTATAACTAAGATCTACACAGAGGAAAGTCAGATTTCAAATACCGCCTCAGTTTTTGGAGAAAATATTAGAATAGGTATAGATTAGATAGTAGATAGAGTATTTGTTGAGTCTTGACCATTCTCATGTCAAAGCTTTTTTTTTTTTTTTTTTTTATCAGAATGGTTGATTTAAATGAAAATAGGTGGGTTACACATCTCCATTAATGTTTTACATGACCATGAGATCAGAAGCTGGACAAGCTGAAATGATTTAAGAAAAAGCACAAGGATCCTCATCAAGGCCCTTGGAATTTTAAAACCCAGTGGTAAATCTGGCTGCATTCACCCTTGATTTGGCGCTGGGTTGATCCCAGTTTGGTCCTATTCTAGTCCTAGATTGATTGATTGATTTCTAGTCCAAGCCTACGTTAAGTCCCACTTTAGTCCCAATTCTGAGAAAGCTCTACTTTACATTTATTCAATTACAAATGGTTCTATGACTCCAAAATACCTAGAAAAACAGACCTGACTTGTTGAATTGGTCTGGTTTGGACTCCATGTAGATAGAAAGGTTTAATACCAGACTGTGAAACATTCTAGACAAAGGAATGACATGGAGAAAAGCATTTGATGGGCCCTCCACCAGAAAGGTTACACAATGTACCTTTAAAAAAAATATAGATGATAAATGATCATTGAAACTGACAAATAACCCTGAAGTAGAATTATCAAAAAAAAAAACAAAAAAAAAGATTCCAAATGTATGTCATTAAAAAAAGCAATAAATAAAAAAGAAAAAAAAAAAAGAAAAATGAAACCCTTAGTAGTAATTTTGTATCTATAATGAGTCACAGAAGTTAGTTATACAACCCTAACATTGTGTTCAGTTCAGTACATTCGCATACTTTTCTCAGTCCATTTAAGTTGAATTAACTTAAGTTTCCGGACAGACCAAATAACAAAATCGCACATTCACAACATAAAAGCATTCTTGCTCGACTATTACAGGACTTACTTCCAGCTGGGGACATGCAACTGTTTCCCATAAATGAACAATACACACCCTCTTACCCTATTTTGGGCTTCACACAATTACAAACCAAATGCACAAATAGCCCTTTATAGCAGTAGATAATCTTGTATCCTTACATCCCTGCTTCCTTCCTCAATGACGTCTTTTTATTTCTGGATTTTTCTATATAGAGCCACATTGTCGTCATTTGTTGGTTTTGTGGACTTGGGTTTGAGCCTAGATTTTGGGAAATGTTTTAATGGTTGCTATAACATTTTTTTGAAGTGGTTTGGACGAGATGCTAAAATGTGCTATTATTAACAGGAATTCAACCTCTAAGAAACACTTAAAAGCTCATGTGAATAGGAAAAACGACTTGACTATATACTGTAACTTATGACTATTCTTATTAAACAATAGCTTCTTTTGTATTCAGGACACTGTTTATAACCTGTAGCAGACACATGAGAGACAAACAACATGAGCATTAACAACAAGCTGTATTGTGCTGTATTACATTAAAAAGAGTCGTCTTAGTATTATTTTTATTACTATTTTATTACAATTACTATATATTTTTTGGTTTCTGGAAAGTTGCTAATGACTCTGTTTGATAAGTCATCCTTTCAGTGTAATGTGTTTTAAATGTGTTGTGCAAAATACAAGTTCAAATCAAATAATTCAAACTATTAGGTTGTAGAGATGCAATGATGCAGCTCTTTCAGCTCCAATACTAGGGCTGTAACAATAACTGAAATATCGTGATATCGTATCGTCAAAGTTCTCACAATAATATCGTGAACCATCAAAATATATCGAATTACAAGTCTCTTTGCTTAAATTAAGAGTTATGGTATAGCAATAGCTAAAAAAAGACAGAGGGAACTACATAGACCATGATCCTTTGCTCCATTTCATTGTAGACTACATGAGGAAATAACAGTTCTAACACTTTTAAGTCTTGTCAAGGAATTTTCAATTAGGAAAAAGTAGAATATTCACAGTTTAGTTCACCTCCACAAAATATCACAATAAATATCGTACCGTAAGATGTATATCATGAAAATATCGTACCAAGACATTTGGATACCATTACATCTCTAATCATGAGCCTCCCCACAATATTGCAATAAATATCGTACCGTGATGTTCATACTGTGACGATATCGT